AAGATTCATGTAGCTCCCATATTCCCTGTTATTTACTTTTAATGATATTATACTGTATACATACAAAGATATATTTTTTTTATTTACCAAAATGTACTTGTATACCGTACTGTTATTTATATTTTTGAATTCTGTATATCTTTGGCTCTGTCATGATTCTCTGTTATGCCTGATGAACCATTTGTTGGTTAATAAGACGTTATCCTAACAATGACATGGATAGGCTACAGTGCTTACAGTCAGGATATGTATTTATGAAATTTATGCAATTTCATGTTTTCCCTTGTCTTTAGAGTGTTACAAGCTGTTCGTGTATATATTAGATCCATAAAATCGCAAAGATTAAAGTCTCAAACCCAAAGAGATATTCTTTCTAAAAGTTAAGACTCGTCTACGTCACTGTGTGGGAAGATTTGCATAACACTGCCGAAATGTGTGCGCAAAGAAAGAAGGCGTAACTTTTATTCTCGCTGTAGTATTGTCGCCATGGAAGCTGATATTCCAAATATGGTAAGGGGTGTTAAATTTCCGTCACACGCTTGAGGTATTCGGCCAATAACATTGCACTGGATAGCTGGCCAATCAAAGCACACCGCACTTTTTAGAACGATGAAATTTGTAAAAATCGATGCGTTTCAGTAAGGAAGTGCAGAGAGGAGCAACAAGAATGTACGTGGAATGTATGTGGAAAATAATGTGTTTTTTTAACCTTGTGCAGACATCTAGCTGTTGATCTGTCATAACAAACATCACTCTTTTCATCATTCGTGCACTTTTCTTATTTTCAGTGTGATCAGCTCCATTGATGGAAAATCCATGGAGTCAGTCACCAGTGTTAAGATCTTCCATGGCTCGGAGTATAAAGCCAATGGGAAAGTCATCCGTTGGACAGAGGTATTTAACATTGATTCAATATTCATCTTCATTTAACGTTAGGAACTCTATTGTAATGACATTTAAATCTGCGTGTGTGTGCGCAAAGAAAGAAGGCGTAACTTTTATTCTCGCTGTAGTATTGTCGCCATGGAAGCTGATATTCCAAATATGGTAAGGGGTGTTAAATTTCCGTCACACGCTTGAGGTATTCGGCCAATAACATTGCACTGGATAGCTGGCCAATCAAAGCACACCGCACTTTTTAGAACGATGAAATTTGTAAAAATCGATGCGTTTCAGAAAGGCAGGGCAGAGAGGAGCAACAAGAATGTACGTGGAATGTATGTGGAAAATAATGTGTTTTTTTAACCTTGTGCAGACATCTAGCTGTTGATCTGTCATAACAAACATCACTCTTTTCATCATTCGTGCACTTTTCTTATTTTCAGTGTGATCAGCTCCATTGATGGAAAATCCATGGAGTCAGTCACCAGTGTTAAGATCTTCCATGGCTCGGAGTATAAAGCCAATGGGAAAGTCATCCGTTGGACAGAGGTATTTAACATTGATTCAATATTCATCTTCATTTAACGTTAGGAACTCTATTGTAATGACATTTAAATCTGCGTGACTTTCTTTCTTCTGTGGAACACAAAAGAAGATATTTTGAAAAATGTCTTGGTGTTTATTTATTTTATTTTTTTGTCCATACAATGAAATTCAGTGGAATCCAATGTTGTTTTGGACTAATATAATATGAACAAAAGCACATCTTTTTTTGTCTCAAATGATACAATTCTACTTTTCACTCTGTATATTAAATGTTGTGTTGTTTCTTAGGTGTTCTTCCTGCGGACCGAGGACCAGACCAATGGCCTGAGCGATCCTGCAGACCACAGCCGACTCGCTGAGAATGTGGCAAGGGGTTTCTGCATGGCCCTGTGCCCTCACCTCAAACTTCTCAAAGAGGACGGCATGGCCAAACTGGGCCTGCGGGTCACGTTGGACTCAGATCAGGTGACAATGACAAGCTCCATTTAAATGTTACTTTCAGTCTGGAGGAGTCATCTTTTCCAAAATTGAAAATGAACTGAAAATGAACTCCTTGTCAGGCCATCCAAGTTTTTTTCTTCTTCTCCAGAACAGATTTAACCGTTACGTCACCTGCTCACCAATGGTGTGGTAAATGGGTGCCGTCAGAATGAGAGACCTAACAGCTGATAAAAACATCACATTAATCCTGTGAATTGTGTAGTGGGAAGCTGCGTGTTTGTAATAAATCTATCATTAAGACATTTGTAACCATTGTTTTCGGCTAAAATACAAGTCCTCTCTATTCATAATACTTGTCTTGTCTGAATCGGTAGAGAAATATGCACATAACAAGCACTGTTTACTAATGAAAACCGTCTACAACTGTACTAAAGAAATATGTCCGTGGATTTTGATGTGAGAGGACAATTTTAGCAAATTTTCATTATTGGGTGAACTCTCCCTTTAAGATCAGAATCCTACCGACTTTAAAGAGCTTGAGCATTTAAAGCGACAGGCAACAAAACTGCAGCACATGCATATAATAAACAATGTTATCGGGATGCTAATGTAGTTATCGTTATAGTTATCATTCTTAATATGGATGGAGCTAAAATGTCTGAAACTCTGAAATGTCTTACAGGTGGGCTACCTAGCAGGCAGTAATGGTCAGCCACTGCTCCCCCAATACCTGAGTGATCTAGACAGCGCCCTCATCCCAGTGATCCACAGCGGGGCCTGCCAGCTAAGTGAAGGGCCTGTGGTGATGGAGCTCATCTTCTACATCCTGGAGATCATCTCCTAAAGTGAGGGAATCTGTCCAGTCTCAGACTCATGCCTCCCACCAGCTTGAGTCCCTCTTCGCTCTCTTTCTCTCATCTGCACTTCAAAGAGCCTGAAAGCTGTGCAGGAACAAGTCCTCCATACCACCTATGCACCATCTCTACTGGGACGCCCTCTGAATGTGGTGCTCTCTTTCGTTTCTCCTCACCTCTCAACTCCACTGTGGAAACCATAGGCCCTGTTGAGTCAAAAGGGGTGGCGACCCTGAACTCGATCTCTTCAGAACCGTTGTAGCAACACTAAGCTCCTCAAACACAAGAGGGCGCTCTACATGCTCAGTCCTAATGGAGACGAGTGACAGAAGGGAAGGTGTGCACCATGAAATGGTTTCTGGTACACAGTGCCTTGGCCTCATTTAGAAACGAAGAACGAGCTTCAGTCTCGCCTCTAAGCTTTATGAATCACCAGATGCTTTATTTCATGAATATGGACCTCTCCCCCAATACCTGAGTGATCTAGACAGCGCCCTCATCCCAGTGATCCACAGCGGGGCCTGCCAGCTAAGTGAAGGGCCTGTGGTGATGGAGCTCATCTTCTACATCCTGGAGATCATCTCCTAAAGTGAGGGAATCTGTCCAGTCTCAGACTCATGCCTCCCACCAGCTTGAGTCCCTCTTCGCTCTCTTTCTCTCATCTGCACTTCAAAGAGCCTGAAAGCTGTGCAGGAACAAGTCCTCCATACCACCTATGCACCATCTCTACTGGGACGCCCTCTGAATGTGGTGCTCTCTTTCGTTTCTCCTCACCTCTCAACTCCACTGTGGAAACCATAGGCCCTGTTGAGTCAAAAGGGGTGGCGACCCTGAATTCGATCTCTTCAGAACCGTTGTAGCAACACTAAGCTCCTCAAACACAAGAGGGCGCTCTACACACTCAGTCCTAATGGAGACGAGTGACAGAAGGGAAGGTGTGCACCATGAAATGGTTTCTGGTACACAGTGCCTTGGCCTCATTTAGAAACGAAGAACGAGCTTCAGTCTCGCCTCTAAGCTTTATGAATCACCAGATGCTTTATTTCATGAATATGGACCTTGTTTTGTTTTAAACTGCTCTAAAGCTAAAATGATGTAGCTTCCTCAGAGACGTGCTGCTTGGCATGGTAGAGGAAATATTGTGGAACAGTATTAGGAATGTTGACGATTGAGTTACTGTAGCAAATGTCAAGAACGGACCTCTGTTATAGACTTTATTATTATTACAAGACAATAAGATCCAACAATAATTTCAAGCGGCCTTCAGGAATTCAACTACAACTTCAAGATCCACATAATGGTAGGTTTTGACATCACTGAAGGTCTCAGTCCAATAAAGCTTTTATAGTGGAATTGGTTTGGACCGGGATAGAGGATGAAATGTTACCGTTTTTTTGGGCCACTGCATTTAGCATCCCGTCCCCGCCCCATCTCTTCTCTCAACTTTTTAGTGGCCCATGGTGGTTTATAAAATGTTCTGCCAGTGTTTTTAACATGTTATCATATGGTTCCCAATCCTGATCCTGGAGAACCCCCAACATTGCGCATTTTAGATGTCTCCCTATTTAAACACACCTGATTCAACTCATCAGCTCATTAGTGAAGACTTCAAGACCTCAAATGTGAGTGTCAGATAAGAAAGACACCAAAAACATGCAGTGTTGGGGGTTCTTCAGGACCAGGATTGGGAACCACTGATATAAAGGATTGTGTAAGGAATAGCAATTCAGTGCACGGAATATTAAGCCATCAGTAGGAAATGGAATGGATTTACTAATATTTACTAAAACTTTATTTAAAGATGAATGTTATATTCATAGATGAGGAAAGGTTGGATTTTGGTATGTGGTTCCAAATCCCTTAATTCAGCTATCAGTTTAGGGTCCTTAATGCCATGAGCTTCTCATAGTGTTAAAGCTATAGTTCACCCAAAAATGAAAATTCTGTCATTAATTACGCACCCTCATGTCGTTCCAAACCTGTAAGACCTTCGTTCATCTTCGGAACACAAATTAAGATATTTTTGATGCATTCCGAGAGCTCTCTGTCCCTCCCATAGACAGCATTCATTGTAAGTAACACGAACAAGGCTCAGAAGCGTAGCAAGGACATCGTAAAAATAATCCATGTGACATCAGTGATTCAACCGTAATTTTACGAAGCTACGAGAATACTTTTTGTGCAACTTTAATGAATAACGACTTTATTCAACAATTCGTCGTCTCCGCGTCACCCTATAGCGCCATTTTGGAGAGTATCACATACGTAAACAACATCTGCGGGTCACGTTGGACTCAGATCAGGTGACAATGACAAGCTCCATTTAAATGTTACTTTCAGTCTGGAGGAGTCATCTTTTCCAAAATTGAAAATGAACTGAAAATGAACTCCTTGTCAGGCCATCCAAGTTTTTTTCTTCTTCTCCAGAACAGATTTAACCGTTACGTCACCTGCTCACCAATGGTGTGGTAAATGGGTGCCGTCAGAATGAGAGACCTAACAGCTGATAAAAACATCACATTAATCCTGTGAATTGTGTAGTGGGAAGCTGCGTGTTTGTAATAAATCTATCATTAAGACATTTGTAACCATTGTTTTCGGCTAAAATACAAGTCCTCTCTATTCATAATACTTGTCTTGTCTGAATTGGTAGAGAAATATGCACATAACAAGCACTGTTTACTAATGAAAACCGTCTACAACTGTACTAAAGAAATATGTCCGTGGATTTTGATGTGAGAGGACAATTTTAGCAAATTTTCATTATTGGGTGAACTCTCCCTTTAAGATCAGAATCCTACCGACTTTAAAGAGCTTGAGCATTTAAAGCGACAGGCAACAAAACTGCAGCACATGCATATAATAAACAATGTTATCGGGATGCTAATGTAGTTATCGTTATAGTTATCATTCTTAATATGGATGGAGCTAAAATGTCTGAAACTCTGAAATGTCTTACAGGTGGGCTACCTAGCAGGCAGTAATGGTCAGCCACTGCTCCCCCAATACCTGAGTGATCTAGACAGCGCCCTCATCCCAGTGATCCACAGCGGGGCCTGCCAGCTAAGTGAAGGGCCTGTGGTGATGGAGCTCATCTTCTACATCCTGGAGATCATCTCCTAAAGTGAGGGAATCCGTCCAGTCTCAGACTCATGCCTCCCACCAGCTTGAGTCCCTCTTCGCTCTCTTTCTCTCATCTGCACTTCAAAGAGCCTGAAAGCTGTGCAGGAACAAGTCCTCCATACCACCTATGCACCATCTCTACTGGGACGCCCTCTGAATGTGGTGCTCTCTTTCGTTTCTCCTCACCTCTCAACTCCACTGTGGAAACCATAGGCCCTGTTGAGTCAAAAGGGGTGGCGACCCTGAATTCGATCTCTTCAGAACCGTTGTAGCAACACTAAGCTCCTCAAACACAAGAGGGCGCTCTACACACTCAGTCCTAATGGAGACGAGTGACAGAAGGGAAGGTGTGCACCATGAAATGGTTTCTGGTACACAGTGCCTTGGCCTCATTTAGAAACGAAGAACGAGCTTCAGTCTCGCCTCTAAGCTTTATGAATCACCAGATGCTTTATTTCATGAATATGGACCTCGTTTTGTTTTAAACTGCTCTAAAGCTAAAATGATGTAGCTTCCTCAGAGACGTGCTGCTTGGCATGGTAGAGGAAATATTGTGGAACAGTATTAGGAATGTTGACGATTGAGTTACTGTAGCAAATGTCAAGAACGGACCTCTGTTATAGACTTTATTATTATTACAAGACAATAAGATCCAACAATAATTTCAAGCGGCCTTCGGGAATTCAACTACAACTTCAAGATCCACATAATGGTAGGTTTTGACATCACTGAAGGTCTCAGTCCAATAAAGCTTTTATAGTGGAATTGGTTTGGACCGGGATAGAGGATGAAATGTTACCGTTTTTTTGGGCCACTGCATTTAGCATCCCGTCCCCGCCCCATCTCTTCTCTCAACTTTTTAGTGGCCCATGGTGGTTTATAAAATGTTCTGCCAGTGTTTTTAACATGTTATCATATGGTTCCCAATCCTGATCCTGGAGAACCCCCAACATTGCGCATTTTAGATGTCTCCCTATTTAAACACACCTGATTCAACTCATCAGCTCATTAGTGAAGACTTCAAGACCTCAAATGTGAGTGTCAGATAAGAAAGACACCAAAAACATGCAGTGTTGGGGGTTCTTCAGGACCAGGATTGGGAACCACTGATATAAAGGATTGTGTAAGGAATAGCAATTCGAATATTAAAATATTAAGCCATCAGTAGGAAATGGAATGGATTTACTAATATTTACTAAAACTTTATTTAAAGATGAATCATAGATGAGTAGATGAGGAAAGGTTGGATTTTGGTATGTGGTTCCAAATCCCTTAATTCAGCTATCAGTTTAGGGTCCTTAATGCCATGAGCTTCTCATAGTGTTAAAGGGATAGTTCACCCAAAAATGAAAATTCTGTCATTAATTACGCACCCTCATGTCGTTCCAAACCTGTAAGACCTTCGTTCATCTTCGGAACACAAATTAAGATATTTTTGATGCATTCCGAGAGCTCTCTGTCCCTCCCATAGACAGCATTCATTGTAAGTAACACGAACAAGGCTCAGAAGCGTAGCAAGGACATCGTAAAAATAATCCATGTGACATCAGTGATTCAACCGTAATTTTACGAAGCTACGAGAATACTTTTTGTGCAACTTTAATGAATAACGACTTTATTCAACAATTCGTCGTCTCCGCGTCACCCTATAGCGCCATTTTGGAGAGTATCACATACGTAAACAACATATGCAACATATCCACGTATGGTGCTGCTGACACAGAACAGTTGTTTACGCATGTGATACTCTCCAAAATGGCACTATAGGGTGACGCGGAGGAGACGAATTGTTGAATAAAGTCGTTATTCGTTAAAGTTGCACAAAAAGTATTCTCGTAGCTTTGTAAAATTACGGTTGAATCACTGACGTCACATGGATTACTTTTAACGATGTCATTGCTAGGGCAGTCCAAAAAAAATCTGAATTTCGAATATTCGTCGAATTTAAAATAAAAATCCACATTCGAATGCAAAAACGTAGCATTCGAATTTTAGGTGTGCGTCAGGCAGCCTTATCAGGGGCGCACGAAATGCGACGACGATGTAAGTGTCATTGCATTTGAATGTTTTTGTTAGTCTATCCAGTTGAACCCACTAGATGCGGATATTTATCACATTTTCTAGAGGGACATCTATCACCATTGCACTCACGTCTCGCACAAGGGAGCGGCATGTTTAGAAAGCCATGTAAAATTTATGCAAGTTCAACTGTTTAAAAACATGTCTCAAGACTTTATGGCGGTTTTTCCGCATCCTACTGCATCTCAAGTTTTTAAATGAAGAAAGTACTCTTTGTGATTGTTTTTTTGTCCTTTGTATTAAACTATACATGCATGATTCTGTTTTGTTTCTAATTGTTTAAGCAACTTTAATTATATAAGGTTTAAAAACATTATTTTAAACATTATGCACTTTTTTTCAAAGATAGTCATGTTATTTTATTATGCTTTGAAGAAACGTGCATAATATTTTGCTTGATGCGCCCTCTTGTGGCCTCAGGAGAGAAGCCAAAAGCTTTTTCCCCCCTAACTGAAATTATGCCTTTTAAATTTGAATATAATTCGAATATTGATAATATTTAAGTACAAAATTCGAATTTAGTTTTTCATCCATTTTGACAGCCCTAGTCCTTGCTACGTTTCTGAGCCTTGATTGTGTTAGGACCCTTGCTGTCTATGGGAGGGCCAGAGATCTCTCGGAATTCATCAAAAATATCTTGATTTGTGTTACGAAGATGAACGAAGGTCTTACAGGTTTGGAACAACATGAGGGTGAGTAATTAATGACAGAATTTTCATTTTTGGGTGAACTA